GAGAAGATGCATATTGATTTTGCTTTAATAAATCATATTCTCTCTTAAAGTTATTTTATAATTTTAAAGACACCTAATTTTAATCTTTAACAATTGTTAATCAAAAGTGCCTTTTGGTACCTGATACTCTAATTACTTCTGCCCACAATTTCTGTCAATTAAGTGTTTTTCAAGCTGGTGTTGATTAGAGAATATGAATAAACATTTTGAGGAACATTAAAGATAACATCTATTTGTAAAATCTCATGAACCTGGTAAATTTGTTTTGTGGTTTTCTTAAATCCTGGTATTATTGTATGAAAAAATACTGGTGTACTAGTATGAAGGCTCAAAAGACCTTATTAGGGGTGGGGAATCTCTGTAGAAGGCTCATGAAACCATTTGGTAAATGATTGGACACACATACTTTCCCTTGTTTATCTACTACCTTACCCAACTCACCCTTGGCAGAATAAGATTCCTCACACCTGTGAAAAAGAACTAAAATCCCTAGATTAAAGATGAGCCAGACCCTGGTTGCTCACACCTATAATCCTAGCTACTTAGGCTGAGATCTAAGGATCACCGTTGGTTCGATGTTAACTCTGGCAGAAAAGTCTGAAAGATTCTTATCTTCAATCAACCAGCAAAAAGCTGAAGTAGGGGTGTGGCTCAAGCTCTAGCACGTCAGCTTTGAGTAGAAAAACCAAGTGACAGCTTGAGGCCCTGAGTTCAATCTTGTGTACTGTTGCACACACCATGTGCGTGCACACGCACACATGCATGCACACACACACACACACACACACACACATGAATGAATGAAAACCATGTTTTGTTTCTGTCTCTTTTCCTCACTTGGCTGCAGAACCCCTAAAATATATATCATATAAAACCCCAACATACTAGATAGAATTGTTCCGATTCTGATGGAAGAATACCCACCCTTCTAGGTCTCTAGGACTCAAAATATGTCTATAGTAATATAGTTTATCTTTGCAATCTTTGCCGCAGTCAAATGATAACCTTTAGACCCTCAAAATGAAAAGAACATTCAAAGGTAATAAGCAAGTAGACAATACACTGTATCCCACATACATTAAGCATGAAACAACTCCTTTTTCTCCTTTTCTTACTTGACATTTCCTTATTCTTTCTCTCTCACCTATGCCTCAGGCCTAGTTATAACACCACCACTGCCACACAGACATAGGAAAAGCTTATTAAGGCTGAGAATGTACCTGGACCACAGAATATGTGGATGAGGTAGGGGAAATCAGAGTATAATGGTTCTTTGATCAGTCCAAAGTATTTATGTCAGAACATGCAATCAGGTTTGAAGAAAAACAAGGAGCCAAGGGATGAAAGAGGGTAATAATCCATCTTTGCTCACTAGTTACAGAACATATGTGCAATACTGCTAAATATAAACAATTGGAATAATTGGAATAACTGGAATAATTTGGAATAATGCACCCTTTCACACCGATGACAGTCCAGAAGGTAGAAGATGTCATTTGGACTAATGCTATTAGATACTGTTACTACTATGCTCGACATGTCTCAAATCATTCTATGGCTGAGTTCCTATCTAATAAAATTAAAGTTGTTTTCTATATGCTTTGAAGGTTCTATCAGGCACCCATCATAACATCTCACAATTTCTTCCTGTTCTTGATTCAAAAAGAACCAAACATATTCCTAAAGGATTTTCTTTATTCATTTTACTTGTAACCAGTTTTTAAGAGTTTAGTACAGCACTTTCCATTTCCAAATAGTACTTGCTGACTAAAGAACCAAATATCAGCCTTCTAAAAATAGTTTAGTCTTAACTGTAACCCTCTGTATAGTAGCTTTACAATAAAATAAAATTAAAAAAAAAATAGTTTAGTCTTTAAGTAAGTTAGTTTAAAGATTTCATGCTCTGATATTGACCTGTCATCAAACAACAGAAATCTTTATTTTTGAAGACCTGAAGCTCAGTCTAAAAATACATCTTAATATAAATGTAATTAGTATCTTAAGACTCCTCCCCTGTGCTAGCTTAATTAGTTATATTCTAAACTGTCTTCTTCAATTCACAAGCAAGTCCAGGAAACCATCCACCTTTAACTTGTCAGCAAGATATTTACATTCAGCTAATAAAGGAATAAAGGTCAATTTGTTAATTTTTGCCTTGCATAGCTCAGAATTATCTTTATTCTTAAGGAATTTTCAATGTAAAAGACAATCCAGAAACCAGAATTGTGCCAATAATGAATACAAATGTTAAAATTTTCATTATTAGCTACCAAAATTAGATTTGTAATATTGTTCTTTCTGTTCACTTAAACAAATGAAGTATAGATTCTTTATCTGTTGCTAAGCATCTTGATTTAAGTATGTACTATCTTCAGGAATAAGTCAGATTCATGGGAAAGTACTCAACAGAGCCCAGAGGCATAAAAGGAATTATGAAAATGGAGTCACACTCAATTTTGGTTGTACTTTTACCTCTTTCAAGTACTCCTTCTCAGTTTCTTGTTTAACCAGCATAAATAAATTATATAGTTTCTTTTACTGTTTACTTCCCTTCAAAACAAAGATTTTGTCCCTAGTTGTTTTTTATTTGTGTTGTTTTCCTTAGTAAATTCATTAATTTACATGGTCTCAATTACCACCTATTTTAACCTTACATTTATCATTTTCAAGTTTTTAAAAATAGCTATTTTATTTTATTGTCAAGGTGATGTACAGAGGGGTTACAGTTACATGAGTAAGGTAATGAGTACATTTCTTGTAAAACAGTATCACCTCTTAATGTATGTAATCTTGGGCTTTTTCCTAAGGTTGACCTGCCCCTTGTAGTACCATGTGAATTGTTTTGTCTAGATATTCTGCTAGCATCTCAAAGTTAGCAAGTCTATAACTAAGACCTTCATTTCCTTTAACAAGATTTCCTGATCTCTTCTACCTTCTGTTAAAAGCATTATCATTTTTCCATTCCTGGTATCATCCTTGAATCCTATTCCTTTTTTAACTTCTAATAACTGATCTGTTGCTGTCTTGTTAATTCTATCTCACAGTATCTCTGGCATCTTTTTCTCCCATATTAGCATTGCAACCATCACTTCAGTAAGACTGCTATTTCTGTTTACCTAAACTATTGTATTGACCTCATAACTAGTTGGTATTTACTGAATAAATGATTGGAATGAATGGTATTCCTACTTTAGATCTCTCATCTATCTTTTTCAACAGGACCAGATTAATTACCCAAAGCACACCTCTAATCTTACCAGCCTACTCAAAATAGAAGTTCCTATTTTCTACATAGTTATTTTGTTTTTAGTTTAAGGTATTTCAAATTGGGAGCTGTCTTTTTTGTCTAAAAGAAATTTACTGTATAAAATTATTCATAAACACACAGATAAAAAGTACATTTCTAAAAAGCATATAATTGACAATGAATACTGATTAATGTGCTAACATATGAAACACAAACCTGTAAGACACTTTGAGAATAATTCATACACCTCTCAACTTTAGATGATGCAGAGTTCTATTTGTCTAATCTGACTTCCAGCTCCTTTTGGGATATTTTGCTCTCACAGGAGCCAAGAGGAACTATTCCTTCTTCTCTACATACTCTATGCTTATACCTATAACAATCCAAACCTGTCAAAGATGCCATCTCTAGCAGGACCCTGGTGGCTCATGCCTGTAATCCTAGCTACTTGGGAGGCTGAGAGAAGAAAGATTGAGGTTCAAGGCTAGCCTGGGCAGAAAAGTATACAGAATTCTATCTAAAAAAACAACCAGCAAAAAATCCCGGCTGGAGGAATGTATCAAGTGGTACTGTGTCAGCACAAGGCTGAGTTCAAACCCCAGGGCTGCCAAACAACAACAAGATGCCATCTTCTCTAAGGAATCTTTCCGGCTCTTTTCACAGCTGTTCCTCCTCTCGGTTTCTCTGAAACTCCACAACATGCAACTGGTATTCCTTTAAATCATTTATGGCCTACATGTATTAGAGCACTAAAATAAAACTGGCCCTGTGTGATTTACAAGAAGAGAATTTGCTTTATTCAGATTTGAATAAAATAGTGCCAAGAGCCATACTACGTACATGTTTTCAATATGTTTAGGGTAGGGAAAAAAATGAGTAAATAAAAGGAAATAGAAATGATATAAGAAATGCTAAGATCTGAGTCCTAACACAAGATATTAATCTTTATATATTAAGACAAATAACAAAAAATGATAGCTAACTTTCATTTATACTCTTAAGCAAACACTTTCAACCATACTTTTGAAATCTAATTTATTGTCTTGTGTTACTGGGGGTGGAAACCAAAGCCTTGCACATGTTAAGCAAGTAGCTCTATTTTTATTTTAACATCCATATTGTTTCTTTTGCCTGAAAAGATATTGTTCTAAGCTTATAATATGTTAATTCACTTACTCATAATAAAAAGCTTATTTTACAAATTAGGAAACTGGCTTGCTCAAGGTTTCAATTTTCCTTGAAAATTTATAGTCATTAATATGACTGCAATGTAGCACTAATAAAAACTGAGGATGTTGCTAAAATATAGAGTGTCCTGACACTAAATATATCCAGCTTTTGTGGTTGCCTTTGTAGTTTTTCTTTTTTCATTTGATATTGTTTGCCACTTATGGCTATAAATGTGCCTAAAATGCTTTCATCCTCTTTTCAATTTACAGGGAACCATGCTTAGGAGAAATATGTGCAAAAAGACTCAAGGGACTTCTTTAAGTTTCCTATGTTACAGCCAATGTTTCTGTATCATACACACTGGTTATAGGAGTGAATTCCATTAAGCTGAGAGGATCCAACTCTGATCCAGAGATAAATCTTATATAACATATAATTTCTGTCCACTGAATAATTATACAAATTAAAGATCATAAAAGTTGGCTATGTTGCCCCAAAGCAGCTGTGGGTTCATGATTAGAAAATACCATCCTGTTTCTTAGTTATAACAATAAAACGATGAATGTTTTTCTCCCATTCTTACCTTTGCACCTCCTAAAAACCCCAGGGAAATGGCAACTCTAGCTCGTAGATCTGGCCTGTCTTTAGGCCACACATAAGAAAGCATTGCCTTTATGATTTTCCGAGTATCAACATCTTTTAACTGTTAAAAGAGAGAAAACAAAGTTGTAAATACATTTTAAACATATTTGAAAAACATATGAAAACATTATGAATATAACTTTTAGCATTATGAATATAACTTTTAGTATTATGAATATAACTTTTGGTCTTGAATCAAAGGTTAATATTTTGAAATTCAAGATACTTTGGAGAAAAAGGAACTATTTCAGCTGGGTACCAGTGGTTCATGCCTGTAATCCTAGCTACTCAGAAGGCTGAGACCTTAGGATCATGGTTCAAAGCCAGCCCAGGCATCAAAGTCCATGAGATTCTTATCTGCAATTAATCACCAGAAAACTGAAAGTGGTGCTGTGGCTCAAGTGGTAGAGTGCTCGCCTTAAGCTGAAGAGCTCAGGGACAGCGCCCAGGCCCAGAGTTCAAACCCCACGACCTACTCCCCCAAAAAGCAACTATTTCAATTGCTTCTTAAGGAACTGCTTGTTTCTCTTAAGTTTCTTAATATCACCTAGTCAACCTCATACTGCTTGAAAAGCTATCAAGTATTGGCAAAGAGGACATGTACTATACATTTATTTTTTATCCAGAGTTATAAAATTATATAAGCCTTAAAATCCTTTCTATATTTCCATCTCTACAGTCAGATTCAGAGTATTAAGTCCTAATTCATGGTAAAAAAGTTGCAATACTGTGTTTAGGAAAGTAGGACATATGGGTATTTGTTACAGAGGCGAGACTATTATATTCTTATTAAATCTTTTGGTTTGTGGTTCAATTTTAGAGATAGGATATTAAATAATCAAACTCACATTTTCTAAAACTAAAATAATCAATACATACTCTAAAGCTACTGTATTACAGTTGGTGATACACTCTCCATTCAAAAAATTGAAATATTAGCTCAATTTTTTTGAAAAGTTATTTAAAAAAAGATAGTGTTCTTTGCCAATGAGGGTATATAGAAATGAACACTCAAGTATACTATTAGTGGGGAATGCTATGAAATAATCTTCACAGAAAACAGTATCTATTATGAGCTTTTAAAATAATTCCACTCTTTGTGGAATTATTCCATTTGTGAGAATTTACGCTTTAAAAAAATCTTAAAATTGCATCCAAAATTGAATCTATTTTACCCCTGAAAATCTTTTGAATTTGTCTATTTTGTAATTTCAATTAGCAACATAATCTAAACTATTATTAATTCCCACTCACTGCAACAACCTCCTAACTGATTTCTCTGCATACTGTCTGTTCCCTATCTAATAATAATTTATTCCTACAACCAGATATCACTTCTAACTTAAAATCCTTAAGCAACATCCTATCTTTTGGAGTGGAGACCAAGGTCTATAATGTACATTATTGTTTGGCCTGGCCCCTGTCTACCTTTCCAGCAATGTCTTATACCACTGTCAGTGCTCAGGCTCCACTGGCTTACTGTCAGTTCCTTGAAACATACCGAAATTCCTTTTGCCTCAGTGGCTTTGCATAATAGTGTTTTGTTTCTGTCTAGAATTACATGTCTTTCTAATATCTCAGCTTCTCTACCACCTTACAACCTCTTTCAACTAGTTAACCCACAGCTTAAACAACATTTCCTCAACAAAGTCATCATTTTCTCTTATAGATCATATTGATTGACACCTACTTTCCTGCTAGAATTTAAATTATATTTGTGTATTGTGTTTTGTACTCACAGCTATAACCCAATTCTGTAGTAGCAGTAGCTAACATAGAGTAGTTAATCAATAATAAATGAAATAAATAAAAAGTAAAAACTTGGCTATAACAATGTTCATGTTCATGATGTTTTAATATAAACAAAATTGAAAACTGCAAATGATCAACAATGGAGGCTAATATAAACAAATAAGTGTGAATGCATAAAACAAAATGAACACCATCCACAAATATACAGTGACTCACAAACATATTGAATAAAAAAAGCAGAGTGAAAAAACATCTTTTGTGGAAGAAAACATGATGTGTATATAAGTTTACATAACCATACTATAGATCTGGAAAATAATAGTCCCAAAGTGTTAGTGACAGTAGGTGTGAGTAGGTAGAATCTCTGAAATTTGTTTTTACTACTGTCATTGCTTGCTTATATTTAATGTAATTCACATATAGTAAGAAAAACATGAAAGCTAGGGGCTTAGCTCAAGTCGTAGAATGCCTGTTATGTACGTACAAGGCCCTGGTTTCAATCCTAGTACTGCCCCCCAAAAAAGTTTCATTGCTCCCTAAAAGGAGGAATGTTACACAATTTCAAGCAGATTTGTATAGAAAAGAATAGAGAAAACTGTCAACATGCAAGAAACCCAGGACAGCACATTATATAATTCAGGTATTTTTATGTTATAATTATCCCCATAGGGCTCAGGAAACTATTTTGTTAATGTTTAGGTAATTTATTGTGCCAAGATTAACAGAAATAAAACTGTTCATATTGTGTTGAAAACAGGACTACCATCCTGAGTTGCTTTAAATACAGAAGGCAAAAATATAAAATGCTGAAAGTATAGTTCTTCTTAATGCTTTATTTTACACATATACACACACGCACGTGCATGCACACACAGTTGAATAACTGGTAAAGCATTAAAAATGGAATAAGGCAGTAATTTTAAAATTCACTTTTCCAATCGAACGATTACAAAATAAATATAATTTAATGCATTACAACACAAACTGGGGCATTTCAACCACTTTCCCATTTCAGTTTTGCTTGCCTTATTTTTCTTGATGGAATAATGGAAAAAGGCCCTGTTTCCTCATATCTTTAGAAACACTTTTTCCTGTCAAAACCGTCTACAATACACCCCAGAATTTTTTCAATAAGGACACAGAGAAGTTATGGCTAAGAGCAAGAAAATTATTCTAGTTGGCTTAATAGTGCATAAAATGTCACCACTTCATTTAACAAAATGGGTTCTGAAGTTGTGTAATCATGCATTACGAGTCCATTAAGCTATAAAGGACATGACTTCAGTTAGAGTTTAGATAAACTATAAAGTTTGAAAACTAATGTCTTTTTTAAAAAAGTAGAGGCCAAATCAAAGAGATATTTCAGGCCCCAAGGCATATTTTTAAAGAGCTTTAAACCAAATTATTCTTTCTGTACTGATGTAAAACTAAATTGGTAGCCATCATGTAGATCTTAAAAGATAATATATCTCCTTCTAAAACCAGAAGTTATTTCGTTCTGGACAAAATGGTTATCGAATGCTAGAAGAGACCAGACATTAGCTTGAGAGTGACTTGGCATCACCATTATATCAACTATTTATTTTCCCTTTGACTCAATAGTATGTAAACAGATAAATCCAATTCACATACCTCTTTAAAATCACATTCTTTTTTTTAATTTTTAATTGCTATTATAAAGGTGATATACAGAGGGGTTACAGTTACACAAGTCAGGTAATGAGTTAAGATCACATTCGTAAAGTAAGGGTGTAAAATGTAGGAAATGGCCAAAGAGGAGGACAATACTTTGGGTTACTTGAAAACACTGTGTAAAGAGTAACTGCACCACAGTGCATGAAAAAGAAATCAAGGACTGATTTAGGGAAATGAAGTTTTTGTCTGCCCCAAAGGTCATAATTCCTGAAGTAACTAATGGATAATATGGTTACAGTTTTTCTCTAAATCTCTTTTATATATAACTAGGAACTGTGTAATTCTTTGTTTTTTGTTTAGCATTTTCACAATAAATTATTAAAATATTTTAAAATATAAGAGTGGAAGTCAGATACAGAAAGATCATGAGTCCAAGGTCAGCCTGGGTTACATTTTGAGATGCTATCTCAAAAAAAATAGTGATAATTATATATCTGCAAAAGCTCTCTAAAATTGAATGTATAAAAATATTTTAAATGCCTGCAAAAGTAAAAGTGAATCTACTTTCTCCTCTACTACCAGAATATATACATGTAGCCTTCTTAGTTTAAAACTTGGAACTGACATCTCAAGCCCCATTACAATGTAAAACTAGTACTGTGGTAGAATTAGAAGTACTTTTTAGAAATGCCTCAACTATGTATTGGAATTAGACAGCTATAATTAAAGAAAAGCGTGAGAGTCAGAAAAAAAATATACCAAAGTAGCAAAAGAAGAAATCTGAAAAAGCTCACTAAGATCTTAGAATAATAAAATTTTATTGCACGATTTTTTTCTAGAAATGACATTTAAAGAAAAAGTTTGGAAGTGTCACAGTTGTCAGAGATAAAAATGACTGAAAACAAGGTGGCCCAAGAGGAGGAAAAAACGTAGGTGTCAGTAGAAGAAATTTAATTCACATTGCAAATAATGTCCAATACATACCTAGTGAATTAATCTATTTCCAAACACATGAGGACAAATTCTTACTAATATTCACAGGTTAAAGGATGAAGAAAATTAAACCTTTCCATGTAGGAATGCTAGTGAAGACTCTTACTGATATTCTTGAAATATAACTAATAACTGACTTATAAAGTCACTATAACCTTTGATGTATTTTTAAATATTTACTTATTAGGTATCAATATATACATCTTCATAAAGCTGAGCAGGTAAGACAAAACAATGAAAACGACATCTACTTGTACACAGGAAGATAAACAGCATGATCACAGCACAGTGGTCCCAAATCAAATATAGTCACACATTGCTTAAAAACAGGAATACACTATGAGAAATGTGTAGTTAGGTGATTTTGTTGGATGAACCTACATGGTGTAGCCTACTCCATACCCAAGCTGTATGGCTCCTAGTCTACAAACTTGTATAACATGTTACTGTGCTGAATATTAAGAAAATGTAAGACAAAGGCCACTATTTATATATTTAAAGCATAGAAACAATATAGTTAAAGTATAGTATTAAACGATTTTTTAATGATACACCTGTCTAGGGAATGTACCATAGAAGTTGTTTTGGTTGGGTTACTGAGTGGAAAGTGACTGTGAATGCCTAGGGCATTACTGTGCAATACTGCAGACTTTTAAAATGCTGTATACACTGGTTAAACTA